CCCCTCCGCGGGCGCGGAGGTCGCAGCAGGTCTAGCTCGAATGGGGCTCAGCCCGGCTCCTCGAGGGAGGGGAGGTTGGCGGGGTGGAGACTCAGGCGCTCCCCAGGAAATCCGCCGAATGCCCATCTCCTCCCACCTTCCCCTTCGGGCGTTTCGTGTTTTCCCAGCTAAGGATCATCTCGCTTGAATACAGTGAGAGGCTGACCCAAGGTTACGGAGCAACAGGCGGTCAGGGCTTGGCCAGGGCGTCTCTCCAGGAGCAGGGGGAGGGGATGAGACGCCAGGAGCTATCTTTCCTATCTTCTGAGCCACTCCCCATCCTGAATGAGCCACATATCAGGGTCTCCAGGCCCCTTCGTGAGTCCATAGCTATTAAGTGGACTCCCCTGGGGCGGGGGTGTGTGTAGAATGTGCCAGAGCCTTCATGATCTCAGGTAACCGTGAAAAGCTTTCTCCTTCCCTGGGAGGCTCTTGAAGAAAGGGCATAGTGCTGACTGAGCATCCCAAAGAGCAAGTGAGGGGCCAGCATTAGAAGAAAATGGTAAAATCAGGAAGGAGCAAAAAAGAAAAACGGGAATGCAAACTATTCTGCTCTGACCCCTCTCCTAGAAAACTGTCACCACAGACCCACTGCAGCCCGATTTCCAGTGGGTCCCTCATTCACACGCTCTCACAGTCCCCACCCCAGTCTGAGTCCTCCTGCCTGGGAGAAAGAAACAGGTGCTTTCTGAAGGAAATCCAGACTCTTTTTCTCTCTCTCTCACTAACTCTGGCAAGCACTATCTTCTCCGGAAGCAATAGATCTCATTACGCATGGAAACATCCTTTGAATCTGTACCAAGTGATAGTCCAAGCAGAAAGCACGGAAGTAATTGTTTAGATTCCATTAAAAGCATACCTATTGTTTAATGGGTACAGGGTTTCCTTTTGGGGTGATGAAAATGTCTTCCAACTGGATAGAAGTGATAGTTGAACATTATGAAGGTACTAAGTACCAGTGAATTGTACATTTTTAAATGGTTGATTTTATGTGAATTTTTTTTTAAAGCATACCTATTAAATGTAAAAATAAAAAAGTTGAGCAAGGCTACCAGTATATTAAAATGTTGGAAGCTGGCTGGCTAGCTCAATTGGTTAGAACGTGGTGCTGGGCCGGCCTGGTGGCGCACTCGGTAGAGTGTGGCGCTTGGGAGTGCGGCAGTGCTCCCACCAAGGGTTCGGATCCCATATAGAGACCGGTCTGCTCACTGGTTGAGCGCGGTGCAGACGTGACACCGAGGGTTGCGATCCCGTTGCCGGTTGCAGTACAGGCGCGACACCAAGGGTTGAGATCCCGTTACCGGTCACGAAAAAAGACAAAAAGGAAAAAAAAAAAAAAAAGAACATGGTGCTGATAACACCAAGGTCTGGGGTTTGATCCCTGTACCAGCCAGCAAAAAATAAATAAATAAAAAATAAAATGCTAGAAAGAGTTCCATATGACCTCAATAAATTAGGGAATGGTCCATTAAAACAAGATGGAACTTTATTAGAAAAAAAAGTAGGAGGAAGAAAACAAAGACACATAAAATACATATAAGACAAGGAACAATTAGGCTTAAATAGAACAAACTACACTACTAGATTGGGGTAGGAAAGAAAAGTCATTACAGCATAAATTAAATATGATTCAGCAACGAAATGAAGTTAGTAAATAAGCGTAGCATGATCTAGGGATGTATTATAGGAGCATGATTTACATGAGCCAGGAAAGTAATCTTTTTCTGCCACTATACTTGGCATTGATCAGGCTTTTATTAGAGCAGTGTGTTCTGTTTTGGTCTCTGGACTTGCCTCTAAGGGATACAGACAGCCTTTCAGCTACAGTCACACACATCATTAGCCCACTCAAATGCATACTAATCTGCCGCAATTCCCAGCCCTATAAATGAAAGTTAGAAACATTATAATGCTCTCAGACAACACTGCTCAATTTGCTTTCTTGCTATGAGCTTTATACAGCTTTCTCAGGCCATAACTTAAGAGTTACACTCAGGCTCAAAGACAGTACAGTTGAACTAGCTGTCATAAACACTGGTAGCTGATGTGCAAATGTCAGAACCCAGAAGGTCCCAGTCATGCCCCCATGTCGTCACAGCAAAGCATAGACACTGGGGTTCTGCACAGTTTCCGTAGGTGGGAAATTAACCAACGCCACCCTACCCTTCTGCCTGCACAAAACCACAAGGCAGTGCTGAGGGCTGTCCCTTTAAAGCCAAACATAAACTGAGGAAAGGGAAAGGATTTAGGTGACTGCCTTGGATTGAGTGTCCCCCAAAACTTGACCCACACTGTGACAGTGTTAAGAGGTTGGGAAATCCTATTTTGGTAATTGAAAGGTGGGGCCTTGAAGAGGTGATTAGATTCTGATGATCATTCCCTAATGAATGGGTTAATAATGGTGGCCCTGAGCATGTTTCTGAGGGCTTTAAAAGGACAACATGTGAGAGTCTCTCTCTTTGCTCCACCATTCTCACCATGTGACACCCTGCATTGCTGCAGAGTCACCTCACCAGCTGTGTTCCCTAGAAGGTTTGGTGGTGGACTTCCCCACCTCCAAAACTGTAAACAATAAATTTTGTTTTCTTACAAACTACCCAGTTCCAGGTTATTTTGTTATAAGCAACAGAAATGGACTAATACGGTGCCTTATGGCTTGTTGTGTTGCTCCTTGAAGCTGAGAATCCCCAAGAGTTCAGTTTTCAGCCAGGACTGTAATCGTAAAGGAGCTGAGCACAATTACCTGGAGCAGCTTGACTCAGAGGGGGACCTTTGCTGCCCTTCATACTGCTGCACCAGGGCCCGCACGCTCCAGTACGGGTTCTCGATCTCCTCATCCATGCTGCTGTTCCTAAAGTCAGAGGGCACCAGCAAAGGAGAGGGCGTCAGTCCTTCAGTTCAAGCCAACTCAGCAAGTACTGATAGACTGCCATTCTGCAAGCACTGTGGGTAAGAAAATGAACAAGGCCAAGCCCCTGCCTCAAAGACACTCGAAACCTAGTAAGGAAGGCAGACATGAAAACAAGTAATTTCACTAATCTTTGCAACATCTCAGGGTTGTGCTCTCTCTGAGCAGATATACAACACCCAAAGCATTTCCTGCCATGACTCTCCAGGAAAGCTTGGCATTTTGAATACATTCCAGGGTAGAGCCCCCCCCAGATAAACTGGAACACTGCTCCCACATATCTCCCAGTGAAGAAAACACACAGTGCCAAAGGCATATATTTAAAATTTGGGCACTGAAGCAAAAACTTACTCATATGGTTCCTTTACTTTCTGCTAACTGCAAAGTAAACATTTCAAAAGAAAGGGCTTTTCTGGGGTGGCCCGTGGCTCACTCGGGAGAGTGCGGTGCTGATAACACTAAGGCCACAGGTTCGGATCCCATATAGGGGCAGCCGGTTAGCTCACTGGCTGAGCGTGGTGCTGACACCACCAAGTCAAGGATTAAGATCCCCTTACCGGTCATCTTTAAAAAAAAAAAAGGGCCGGCCCGGTGGCGCACTGCTACAGTACACCGCTTGGGAGTGTGGTGGCGCTCCCGCCGAGGGTTCGGATCCCACATACAGACCGGTTCCCGCTCACTGGCTGAGCGAGGTGCGGGTGCAGCACTGAGGGTTGCGATCCCGTTGCCGGACACGAAAAAAGACAAAAAAAAAAAAAAAGAAAGGGCTTTTCTCCCCAACCTCCACTCCATGTTCTTTCCTGCAATGTGGGTCTATTTGGCTGATATTTCCATCCAGTGCACTGTATCATCTAAGAGAAGAAATGTCAGAGAGAGGGATCAGTACCCATTCCCAGATTTCCATCCTTACCTCTGTCTGTATCGAAAGACATCCCGTCCTGACCGTGACATGTCATGACACACATCAGCTAGAGCAGCAGCTGCTCCCTGGGCCACAGCAGTGGCACAGTGTGGTTGGTGACTCTGCACAGGGGCCCTGGAATCCCGTCCTTGGCTCACTGTCCTGCTGCAGCCGGGTTTGAAATGAGCTGCCAAGGCGAGGACCAGCCTCATGATAGACTTCAAGTTTCCTTCCACAATATCTGAAACACAGGGCAGACCGAGAGATCCTGGGAGGGAGGCAGAGGCTGAGGCTGAGGACTTATGCATTTAATACATATTGCTAGTGATACACATAACAAGACAGTCAGGGTCTCTGTCCTCACAAAGCCATGTACAACCAGGGAGACAAATGCAGGGAGACAAAATCAGGATTTAAATGCAATAATAAGGTACCATAAAGTGCTTTGACAAGAGAAGTTCAGCATTCTTTGTGGGCCCAGAGCAGAGGCATCTTATCTCATCTAGAGGGCTCAGGGAAAGCTTCTCAGAGGAATTAAGTTCTAAACTGAGACTCAATTGATGAAGAGCGGTTCATCAGTTAAGAGAAGAGAAAGAGGTTAGCTCAGTTGGTTAAAGCATGGTGTTGTAACACCAAGGATGAGGGTTTGGATCCTTGCACTGGCCAACCACCAAAAAAAAAAAGAAGAAAAGGAAAAGGAGGGGCCGGCCCTGTGGCGCACGCCAGAGAGTGCAGTGCTTGGGTGTGCAGCGGCGCTCCCACCGCGGGTTCGGATCCTGTATGGGGATGGCCGGTGCGCTCACTGGCTGAGCATGGTGTGGGCGACACCAAGCCAAGGGTTGCGATCCCCTTACCAGTCACACACACAAAAAATAATAAAAAAATTTAAAAAAAACATAGTGTGGAAAAATTACTCAATTTGGGCCGGCCCAGTGGCGCACTCGGT